CCGGCGAGGCGGCGGGGAGCGGAGCTCCGGCGGAGGCGGGCGCCGGCGAGCTCGGGCCGGGAGGCGCGGAGCGGGCGGGTTGGACGGGGCGGCGGCACGGACATGTCCAGCGGGGTCCGGACGTGTTCGGCTGCGGGAAGAGGACGAAGCTAGGGTTTCGGGGGGAAAATGATCCGGAATTTTGGGGGAGAGGGCATATTTATAGGTAGAGGGAGCTAGGAGAGTCCAAATGAGGAGCGGTTTTCGCCCACACGACCGTGATCGAACGACCGAGAGCATGGAGGGGAGTTAGATGGGTTTTGGGCCACTTTGGAAGGGGTGTTGGGCTGCAAAGAGAGAAGGACTTTACGGTTACCCGGTTAACCGTTGGAGTATCAAACGACCTCCAAATGGCACGAAACTTGACAGGCGGTCTACCGGTGGTATACCAAGGCCGCTTGGCAAGACTCGGTCCATTCCGAGAACGTTTAACACCCACTCACAACGAGAGACAAAAGGGGAACGCCGGAGGGCATAGGAGCGCCGGATTGCAAAACAGACAACGTGGAAAAGGCTCGGATGCATGAGACGAACACACATGCAAAATGAAATGCACATGATGACATGGCAAAATGCAACACGCAAGCAAATGACATGGCAACGACGGCGAATAACTGGCAGACACCTGGCGCATCGAATCCGGGGCGTTACAGTCGGTCCCACCGAAAATCCTAATGGTCACTAGATTTGCTAAATCGGTCCGACCGAGTTTCTCAATTCGGTCCCACCGAGATTGGTAAGTTGTGTGTAACGGTTAGATTTTGTGTGGAGGCTATATATACCCCTCCACCTCTTCTTCATTCGTGGAGAGAGCCATCAGAACGAACCTACACTTCCAACTTGTATTTTCTGAGAGAGAACCACCTACACTTGTGTTGAGACCAAGATATTTCATTCCTACCATATGAGTCTTGATCTCTAGCCTTCCCCAAGTTGCTTTCCACTCAAATCTTCTTTCCACCAAATCCAAATCTTGTGAGAGAGAGTTGAGTGTTGGGGAGACTATCATTTGAAGCACAAGAGCAAGGAGTTCATCATCAACACACCATTTCTTACTTCCTGGAGAGTGGTGTCTCCTAGATTGGCTAGGTGTCACTTGGGAGCCTCCGACAAGATTGTGTAGTTGAACCAAGGAGTTGTAAGGGCAAGGAGATCGCATACTTCGTGAAGATCTACCGCTAGTGAGGCAAGTCCTTCGTGGGCGACGGCCATGGTGGGATAGACAAGGTTGCTTCATCATGGACCCTTCGTGGGTGGAGCCCTCCGTGGACTCACGCAACTGTTACCCTTCGTGGGTTGAAGTCTCCATCAACGTGGATGTACGATAGCACCACCTATCAGAACCACGACAAAAACATCCGTGTCTCCAATTGTGTTTGAATTCTCCAAACCATTCCCTTTACATTCTTGCAAGTTGCATGCTTTACTTTCCGCTACTCATATACTCTTTGCATGCTTGCTTGAATTGTGTTAAGATTGCTTGACTTGTGCTAAGTTAGCTAAAATCTGCCAAAGACTAAAATTGGGAAAAGGATAAGTTTTAAATTGGTCAAGTAGTCTAATCACCCCCCCTCTAGACATACTTTCGATCCTGCACCCTCGCGAGGGTCTTGTCTTTGAAGGTGCCGAAGATGGGCTGTATCAGGCCGTCAATGGGGCCATGCCGTGGGCCGCATGCAGGCAAGTCTATCTACCCTGGTTCCCAGAATGCCGACAGGGAGGGTAGGACAAAAGATGTCGTGCAAGTTCTTATTATAAGCATGTATGACTATATACGAAATACATGCCTACATTACATTGATGAAATGGAGCTAGTTCTGTGTCGTCCTAGATTATGACTGTTACATGATGAATGTCATCCAACATAATTATCCATCACTGATCCAATGCTTACGACTTTCGCTTATTGATCTTTGTTAAGTTACATTCGCTGCTGCTGCTATTACAATCACTATAAAACGACTACTGTTATTGCTACCGTTGCTATTGCTACTGTTATCTCTGCTATAAAACTATCATATTACTGTGCTACTGATCACTCTGTTGTAGATATTTAGTTCTCTAGGTGTGATTGAATTGACAACTCAGTTATTAATACTTGCAAATATTCCTTGGCTCCCGCTGTGTCGAATCAATAAATTAGGGTTGAATACTCTACCCTCAAAAACTGTTGTGATCCCCTATACTTGTGCGCTATCACCGCCTGCAGCGCGCTTTGTCGTGGTGGGGGCCCCGAGGTGGCCCTGGTCTTTGGTGGCATGGAGGAGCGGCGAAGGGGCGGGTATCTTTTTGTGGAGTCTTGCCAAACGACAGATCTTGTTTAACACAGAAATATGTCCACCTAGGTCACCTAAGTTTTGTGCAGACCAGAGGATTCCTGGAGACATGCTTTGATGGATTGCTCAATGGCAAGAAGCGTTAGGAATTTATTTGTGGAGGGGCTGGTAGAACAAATATGCTAAAACCAGGCTACGAATATAAAGAGCTTGGTTTTTTTTACTATGCATGAAACATTGTCCCACAACGATTTTATTCACATGGTGGTTACTCTACGGGCAGTCCGGGGAGCAAGGAGGAAAGCCATCTATGAGGACATTTTTTAGAGCCCCCTCTGGACACATTATTATAGTAGCTTTCCAAGCAGATCTTCAGATTCTCGACACTTCGAGGGTGATCATCACACGCATGCCATCCTCAAGACCGGCACAATGGCTCTCTCCGCCTGATGCATATGTAGCGAGAAGTTAGGATTTTGGTGTTGTTGCAGCGGTGAGCCGAGACCATGATGGTGTCTACTTTGGGAGCTTCGGTGATTATTTTTGTGGGCATTAAGCATCCTGGAACACTAGAAGCGTTGGCCATTCGAGAGGCGCTAGCTCTCGCCGAAGACCCAAATTTACAAAAGATTCATATTGCATCCGAGTGCAAGATGGTTATTGATGATATCAAGCAACAAAGCTCAGCCAATTATGTAGCTATTATACATGAAGTCATAGAGCACTCTAGGGGTTTTACCGTGTGTAATTTTGTTCGCGAGTTTAGGAGCTTGAATGTCGATGCTCACAACCTAACGACACATGCTTTACATTTATTCTAATGTAACTATGCAATTCTAAAGTTTGTCATCCAAACATGATTTGGTATTAAAACCTCACTAGCATTTCAAGGGCCAACTCAGTGAACAACCAAACAGACGAATTCATATTCATTTCATTTCAGTTTCCTCGCCGAATTGGATTTCACTCCAATCCAATACATAGGTCTTCAATACATGCATCCAAACGAAGCATTAGGGGTTGTCCATCCAAATAGCCGCCGGTGATATTGCTGCTGCTACAGGGGAATTCACTCGCCTTCCATTTCTACCCGGGCAGTGATACGTGTTGGTGCGCCGGCCGAAATTTCGGCCGGTCGCAGCGCGCCCGTACCATACATTTAAGTTAGAGCGGCATGATCTACATGTATAGCCTTCCCAATTGCTAACTGCTTTGTTTGAGTTGTCAAAGAAAAAGAAACTGCTCCGTTAGAGAAACAAAGGAAAAGCTATGGTGCCCCATCACGTATAGCCAGTAGGCCTTAAGGCAGCCAACACGTCGGGCGTCCTCGCCACTTGCCTCAACGTCGGTCGCCGCCCTCCAACAGTACATCGCCGCCCCACGTAGCAAAACCGTGCCACCTGACGTCTCTATGTTGCAGCACCTAGCCGCCACCACCACCATCGTAGCACGTCCATCGAAGCACCACCGTACCGCCGGCTGCAGCTCTCAGCGTCATTGCTCGTACCTCGGTTTGAAGCTTTTTTTCACGCCCGTTGAAGCTTTTATCCACCCCGCCTTTGAAGCTTTTCCCCGCACCGGTTGATGTTTTTATCCATGCCCATTGAAGCTTTTTTTTCGTCGACAGTCGCTGCACTGGGTTGCACGAATGACGACCACCAGTCAATGCCATGTAGCAAAAAACCTCGTTGGTCGTAGCCAAAAAAAACAACGATTGCAGCAAAAAAAGTCATCGCTGCCGTCGACCAACACCGCCGTGTATGCATGTAGCAAAAAAAGTCACTGGTGGCAGCAAAAATAGGCTACGGTTGTAGCAAAAACGTCGTTGTTCTAGCAGAATGAACTCAGATGGTAGCATTTCTGGGTGCTGGTTCCAACAAACCTCCCCGTCGGTTCCAGCAAACTTGGTCGCCGGCTGCAACATCTCGTTAGCTCTGTCGCAGCTCCAGGTTGTGGCTTGCTCCATCGTAGGACGCGGCCGCTGCTTTGCGGCGGCGCACCGGCGTCTTCATATTGAAGCTTTTGTTGTCGTTGGTTGTAGCTTTTGGGTCGCCGGTTGCACCATCGGTGGAGGAGCATGTTGTGGGTTTCATTGGGGGAAGAAGATGCTTGCAACGGTGCGGTAGGAGATGCTAATGAAAGCAGCAGGGGGTCGCGCCGTTGATGCCGGCGAGCTCGTACTGCGGGAGACAGGATGGGATCAAACGGAGACGGAAGGAAGAAGAAGCAAAGAAAAAGGAAGAAAAAAAGTGAAAAAGAGAAGGAAAACGTTTGGGCCCACTGAGCACGTGCGTGCCAGCGTATCACGCGCGTCAGAAAAGGAAGCGACTGAGCGAGCGCTTCAGCCGGCGCTCCGGCCCCAAACATTTACTACTCTACCTTTCTACCCTCTTCGTCGCACGCGTCGTCCTCCCCGGCGTCCACTCCACTCCCTCCTTTCCCGCCCACGCCATCTTCCTCCTCTCTTCCCCCGTTTCCAGCCCCGGTCTGGCTAAAACCCTACCTACCACCAACCAAGTCGCCATGGCGCCGCAGCTGCCTATCATACACCCTGCCGCCTTGGACGGCGACGGCCTCCCTTCCTGGAAACCCAACCCATTCTCCGCCGACCCTACCTTCGACATGGGCTTCCTCAAGGCAGCCTTCGACGGCGACCTCCGCCTCGTCAAGAGTAGGCACCTCCATACGCCGGCGATTCTTTTTCTCCATTTTCCGGTTCTTGTCTGTTTCCGTGCTGATTTTGGCGCCGATCCGTTTTACGTTTCAGAGGCGGCGAAGGTGCTGGGAAGGGGGGCGGAAGGCCGTCGCCTCGCCGAGAAGCTGGGGGCAGTGAGGGACGGCATAGGCATAGGCTTACTGCACATGGCGGCCCTAGGAGGGAGCCTGCCCGTGTGCCGCTACCTGGTCGAGGACATCCGGCTGGATGTCGATGATGTAGGCCCGATGGGTGCGTCGCCTTCCTTCAAGCCCTCTCCTTTCCTTTCCTTTCCTTTCCTTTCCTTTCCTTTCCTTTCCGTAATAAGTACTAGGGAATAGCTTTCGTCGATTAGAGAGTAGCTCTCGTTCATCCGGGTAGGTGTTTCCTTGGATGGGCTGAATTTGTTTGTGCTAAGCTTCCCTGCTCTGTTGTCCCTGACAGGCGAAACACCTTTGACCTGTGCGATTAGCCGTCAGAATGCGTATTTGGTGTGTTACCTTCTCGACCATGGTGCTGATACAGAGAAGCTCAACAGCGAGGGGTATACGCCTCTCCATTTTGCCACCAATCAAGGTAGCATGGATCTCTATGCATACGTATCTACTGCACATACTCATCTTTCCTAACTCTTCTTCATCTCCATGTGTGCTGCGTCTGTGTGAGGAGCCATCTATCAGTGAGACATCCAGTAATTTTTTCTGATTGGGTATTCTTTATAGTTGAAGGGCGTAAGGTATACACTACATGTAAAAAGTCCTTCCTTTTCCCCCTATACACATCACATTATGCAGAACAGAGGCCTTTTATGTTTCAATGCTATTGTCAATTTAGTTTAGCCAAGTCTCAAAAGTTTAAACTTTCCCTTGCGTCCGAATTCTGTGCACTCCATCAATTCCAGCTATTGACTATGTATTTCGTGGCCTTGATTTATGCCTTCTAAATTACAACCAAGGAGTTACAACAAAGTATCTATAGTTGAATAGTGATATACAGTATCTTGCATTTTCTACTTTGTATCCAGGATACGTTGACATAGTAGAGCTCTTACTCTCAAAAGGAGCTAACACTGATGGACTAAGTCATGGTGGGACAGCACTGCATGTTGCTGCTAATAATGGGCATGATGATATTGTGAAGGTTTTGTTGGATCACCATGCAGATGTAAACACCACTCTCATATTTTCCTTTTTTACAAACTAGTTTCCCTAGAATGGTTAAGTCCACAGTAGTAGTTATTTCATTTGTTGCCCTATCCAGCAACTTTTTCCTATCTGTATTTATTTCATGTCACTGGCTTTTGTGTGTTACACCCGTATTTTTCAGTTTTCATTCCTTCTAATTTAATCTCACCTGCTCCAGTTTTCAAACATAGTCTCAAACTATAGTATCTTGTCTTGGTAACATGAGTGAAATTGCTGCTCTTTGTCCAATTCAGTTTCTCGAATATACACATCGACCTGTAGTCTCCTTTTCAGTGCTGAATTGTCTTGTTTTATTGCAATGGTCCCACCAGTGTCCAGGTGGAGTCCAGAGACTTGAGTGTAACATGCTCTCTGTTTCTCCAGCATACACATAATCCGACTATAGAATGTACGCAGTGCTTTTAGTTTCTACTGTTCTTGCTTGACATAGCCTGGCAAGTTGAAGTTTAACATGCTTGACTTTTAAGTTCGACCTTTGTCATTTGTCTGGCCATTGACTTTACTGAGCTGGAGACTCATTCTTTTGATCTTCCTTTCTTTTGTTTGAATTTTTGGGGAATGGTCAGAGGTACTTCTCCCAGACGGATTAATAGGATTAATATCACCTTTTCATAAATAACTTAGAATATTGTCTCCTCTGAGGATCATGTGCTTGGAGTAATCAAGCAGGAAATGCTGTTGGCTCACTTGCGTATCTCCTGGAGCACATTTGGGGAAAACGAGCCTGATCCAGAGTCTGATTAGCTGTAATTTTAAGTTTGTTTTGAGGGCCATTGGGAGCCATGATCCCTTTCTCTGTAACTCAACTATACTTGCTTCTCTTCTGAAATGCATCGGCAATACAACTTCCATTTTCCTCAAAAAATAGATGACATGAGAGGCTAATTCATTTAATTTGCGATGTTTGTACATGCTAATTATGTTATTTCTTATTTGTGTCAAAAGCTTCTACTCACAATGACAAAGGCAATTACCCGTATATATATATATATATATATATATATATATATATATATATATATATATATATATATATATATATATATATATATAGATTCAGCTGTAGTTCTTCAGCCCTTATTTAAATTTTATGCTGACTGTAGTTATATGGAATTTCTAATTTCTGCATCTCCCAACAGCATAAGATAGCTTTGAGTGGTACTGATTCTACAGCTCTTGTTATTGCTACTGCCACGTGCTCACTAAAATGTGTGAAGCTCCTGCTTGAGGTATGTCATCTTCTCACATCAACTTACAGGTTACTGTGCTAATGTGAAAAGAAAGGGTTATATTACTTAGTTTCTGTAATTTTCCTAAAATGGTTATGACAATGATGAATTGCAATTTGTATGTTTGTTCTTGTGAAGTATATAACCTGTCATCTTTTGTTAGGCTGGTGCTGATGTGGATGGTATTGGTAAAGATACACCCTTAATAATTGCTGCCCTTGCTGGCTCGACTGACATCCTTAAGTGCTTAGTTCTGGCTGGTGCAGATGCTAATGTTACTGACAGTGTAAGCTCTTTTTTTTTACCTTACTGCTACATGGATGCTCTCGTCCAAACTTAGCAGGACATATTCTAATACACGGTTCGTTTAGCAGGTCATTGCTAAACATATTACTGGTTTTCCATCTTCAGTTTGTAAACTTTAAAACAAATGTCTTGATGAATTCTATTTTGTGCATTTTTGGTCCATTTAGATTTATCCTAACAGCGAAGCTACATTTTAAATTCAAGATCCTATTCTGTTTGATTATTTGGAGAAGCATGTAATGGCTGTAGGCTATCTACTAAGTAGGAGGAACTTACCTTGGAGTTCCAACTTTGACCAATTTCGAACTTACAAAGAACATTGGATTGTTGGATGAAATATATAAGTTACCGTCATCAGTTTTGAGAAAAAAAATGAAGCTGCGATTGCAAAATCAGCAGGAGTTACTTCTTATCTTATTCATCCTGGAAATTGTTGGGAACTTGGGATAGTATTATGATGTAACAATTCGGTATTAGTATAAATGTTGTTCTTGACAGATCATGCTAACTAAGCGCCAGATTTATCCTAATCTCTAGAATGTATTTAAGTTTATACCATGTCTGCTCAATGGTTGTCTACATACCTTGCATGCTCTCGGCTGCTTCGTCATTTTATTTTGTCAAATATCAAGTGAAGTTAATCTTGCTTGTTGTCTTGGCAGTATGGGCACACTCCTATAGAAATTGCTGCACGTTCTGGTATGCGTGAACATGTCGAAATTCTATTTCCCGTCACTTCTCGTATTCCTAAAGTACGTGACTGGAGTGTTGATGGAATCATTGGTAATGTAAAATCAGTGCCCTCATCAAAGGTATAATTATAAAACATCACTACCATATTTATATTAATGGTTCGAGTGTGCATGCTTGATTGCTGGCTGTGAGATTTCCCGATTTTGGGGTTTCTTCAATTCATTGTCTTAACTTGAAAAACAGCTTGAAACCGTGCACTTGACTGTCCCTTCTGTATGTAATGAATTATGATTAGTGGCTGAGAATTAGATTGATCGTGAATTTCAAGTATGCCAGTTGTCTTGCTGCAATGGGTTAGCTATGAGCCGGTAAGCAAAAATGTGTCACATGTATTGCATGCCAACTCATTTCGGAGCAATAAGATTTAGTTGAAAGGATTCTAAATGTATTTAACTTACCTGTTCTGTTAAACTGGTCAACTCGATATTCCTTATCACATGACTTTTTGATGGCACATCACACTTTAATCTTTTACGTGTTAATTCTGTGGCATGCAACATGGATTGTGGTTTATTGTCACACCTATGTGTTTCGAACTCTTGTGATGTTTAAATTTTTGTAAGTATGAACCTAGCCAGGATTAACCCCAGTGTTGATTTTGGCCCAATTTGGGTCGAGATGTGCATTTAAGATTCTAAATTAAAATAAAGTACAGGGAATTGGGCAAGTGAAAATATTAGTTTTTAATGATGAGATTGTGGTCTTGTGGGATTTCTGTAGCGGTAGCCTTAGCATATCCCGACTTGCTTTGGAGTAAAGGCTTCATTGTTTTTGTTATGGATTCTGTAGTGGATGGAAGATGCAGTAATCAGTAATGTTGTTTAATACCTCACTCCAAAGACCACAATCAGTGATCTGTATATCTGAAACAAAAGAGACAACCGAGTTCTATCAGTGATATTGATAGTTAGGCCAGTAGAAACATGTGGAAATGAAATGAATCAAACAATTCTTCAACTGCTGACACTGACTTTTAATATTATTTTATCTGGGAGACAGGAGGTTCAACATTTGAGTAAAAATATTCATGGCCATTTCGCAAGAGATAGAACTATTGAGTATATTCAGGAGATTATTATTTTTTCCACTGAGCATGTGGGAAGGGATTACATATGATACTGCATTCGAGTAAAAATATTCATGGCCATTTCACAAGTGATAGAACTATTGAGTATATTCAGGAGATTTTTTTTTTCTACTGAGCATGTGGGAAGGGATTACATGTGATACTGAATCTTTATTCATTTGACTGTTCTCAATGTTTCAGAAAACTATGCTTGCTAGTGCAAAATCTAAAGCACATGAGGCATTCAAGAATGGGAATTATCTTATTGCAGCAAGAATTTATGGAGAGGTACATTCTTGCATCTTGCTTGTTCTAGTTTATGGACTCATTGAATGCTTAGGACAAGTTGAAAGACTATAGTGCATTTTAGTTTTGTTTTTCTGTTCCTTCCGTGGAATGGCATGTGTGATGGAAATTATGCTCTCTGCGGGCTTTGCAGATGTGCTAATGCTGTGAACTAGTTAGAGATTGCTCCTCTAAGCCCTTCCTGTCACGTTGTTATTTTTGTAATCTCTTAGGATGCATTTTTTTATTGATGACGCAGTTGGATCAGTGGTAGAACAGATCATACATTGCATGTAATTCAATTCATCATTGTGGACATAGGCCACACAGCAGCACATACGTGTAGGGGAAATAGAATTTGACACTGGACACATGAGACCAATACTAGCGGCTGGGCATGAAGGAAGAAGTTGACACCACAATGAAGTCCAGGAACAATAATAGAATTGTTTCGGAGTTGGTTTATGTTAAGATATATACCTATCAACCAACTATCCCAAAAGACCGATCTGATAGGGAGATGAGATATATAATATACCTAACGTATGCATGGCATGGGTGAGCAGATATCCTGTCACATGCTTATGGAAGCTAATCATGTCACTGATGACTTGTATTTACTGCATGCGTATATATTATTAAAATTCAAATTGTTTTAGTGATTCATCCAGCACGGCAGATTTCTTGCTGGCAAATCTTAAACATTGTGCAGAATTGTGCTGATGCTTGTTGTGTGCTGTTGTAGGCAATGGAGCTCGACCCTTTTAATGCGACCTTGCGCTCAAATAGTAGCCTATGCTGGATTCGCTTCGGTAATGGGACGCAGGCCCTGAAGGATGCTCAAGCTTGCAGGATGATGCGACCTGGCTGGGCCAAGGGCTGCCACCGTGAAGGAACTGCTCTGATGCTACTGAAGGTGAGATGCGATGTTTTTTTAGATGAGTCGTGTGTCTTGTTTGTGTGGGAAAACCGTTTTGAGCAAGTAGACAAGTTGTGTTATTTTCTGTGGCAACAGAATCGTATTTGATGCTGTATGTACAATTCAAACTCCTTGTCTTCAGGACTATGAAAAGGCATGTGGTGCATTTCTTGATGGTCTTAAGTTGGAGCCTGGGAACGTCGAGATGGAAGACGGTTTACGGTATCCTCTTTGTTCCTGTTGGGCTACATTGTATACTTACTGTGATAACCATGGATGGTGAATGATGTTTCTTCCTTGTCGCGGTGATCTTTCAGTTAGAACAGCCTGCCCTGTAGACACCATACTTACTTAGAGTTGGAACTGAACTGAAATATGCAGGGAGGCCTTGGAGTCCATGAAGATATGTGGCAAAAGGAAAAAAGGTTAGCTGGACGCCTGGACCAGCACCGGCGATTACTGCAAGTAGAAGTAGATACCAGATATATACTCTTGCCAGAAACTTGTGAGCATGCACTTGATTTGGTCCACTCACTGAAGAAACGAAGGTGCCCTGTTTGGCTGAATTTGACATGTAGCCGGTTAGGTTAATTGTTAGATGTCCTCTTGCTAATCACCATGAGCTAGCTGCCAGAAACGACCGGCCGGGACGCCAAACTGTTTTAAGGGCGTGAGAGGGCTGAGAAGTGCTTCAGTTTTACTGAACTAAATCTAAATGTTGTTAGCTTTTCCGATTGTTCTTGCTGACCATCTATCGTCTGAGCCCCTCGCCGGATCGCCTTTTGAGGGCGATCTGCAAATGAAGTTTCCGTTTTTGTACTGTGTTTGCCTCTCTTTACTTACTCCCTTCGTCTGAAAAAAACTTACCCCCATTTGATGCTAGATACATTCATTTGAGGGATAAGATTGGGAAGGCTTTTTCGAACAAGGGAGTACATGGATGGAAGATTACCGGACATGTGAACGCATTTGGTATGGATACCACTAGTACCAGTGTAATCCGCGAGTTGTAGTCTCGAGTTACACTGTTTTATTGTGAACCGTACTGTTCACCCTTTCGTCTCATCAACAAGGGTTTATGGATGTCTTCGCAAAAAAAAAAAGAGAATGAAAAGAAAATCATGGGTGCGGTCTGTTGCCGGCCTCCCACCAAGAGAAGATTAATCGTTCTTCCCGTCAAAAAAAGAAGAGAAGATTAATCCTTACAAGTTGATTAGGGCATGTATAATGGTTGATAAGGTAGTCTTATCTTAAGTCTTGCATGTAATTTAGATATGACAAAAAAAAGAGTCTACAATGGATCATCTCTTTGCCTTATCTTTAATAACTAGTCATTCCTAAAAATGTGGTGAGACATATTGTGCTAAGAGATCATCTCTTGTCTTCTCTTAAATAAGAAAAGACAAGCCTTTTTTTATGAGGTCTCTCTCCTTCACCTCATCATTTATCCTACGTGGTACTCCTAAAATAACACCATTGTACATGTCCTTATTGCCGTTGTCCAAGTCGGCAAAAACAATACTAGTAATCAAATCGCTCGAAAATCGCAGTATCATACTAGTGCAGTACGTTACAGTTTCATTAATCTGACCAAACAAACTACCAGTAGTATCAATCAAAAACACATTTCATGTGAATCATACGCACCAACTCTACTGCGATCGTACGTGCGGAGGAGGATCTTGTTGGCGCCAATATTAATCAATGGTTATGGTGTCCGGCGGCGGCGCGGACGTGTCGGAGCCGGAGGTGGTGACACTGCGGTTTGCCGCAGGTGGTGGCGCATAGCATCAACACATTGGTCTCCCTCGTCAGCGTCTGGAACTACGCCGGGCGGGTCACGGCCGGGTTCGCGTCCGAGGCCCTGCTGGCGCGGCACGGCATCCTGCAGCTAAATCTGAGAATGGTTTCATACTTAAACTATACTTGAACCATACCCGTATACGTATTCTCAAAACCATACTTGAACAATAACCGTTTAATATCATTTTCAGCCCAACCAAAACTAAAACCAGTATTTTTTCCACCCAAACCAATTTAAACCCAATACATAACTATGGGTTTGACTCAATGTACATCTGATTACACAAATTGACTTGTTAAGAAGTAAATGAGATAGAACAGACATAAGTGCATCTACAACAGTTTGGGAACAAAGTTATCTTTGAGATACAGTCGGCAGACAGCAAGAGGCAAAAGACAATGTCCACGACTGAAAAGCTCACTAATAAGTGTATTAAACCTAATTCCTTAGCCAAAGCACAAGCAGACATGTCCGATTTTCATGTGGTGTTTCCCCAAAACACGGAATTACAAAGTGCATCGCAGCGTGCACACGGATTAAAACTACTCATTGTTGGTGCGTCGTTTGTTATTGCACATAACCAATGCCCAGAAACTGGTTTGAACCCGTAGTTTATAGCCGCTAATAACCAAACTATTTAAACCCATAACCAACTATACCCAAACTAGTTTCTCCACATACCCAAACCAAAACCAAACTAAAAAAGACTCGGCCCAATAAAACCTGAACTAATCAAACCCAAAGTAAAAAACCGAACCATTTCACCCGGTTTTTGAATAACCATTCCCAGGTTTACCCGCAGCCGCTCGCGCTCACGCTGGTGCTCCTCCTCTCCTGCGCCGGCCACCTACTCATCGCCCTCGCCGTGCCGCGGTCGCTCTACGCCTTCTCCATCATCGTGGGCTTCTGCTTCGGCGCGCAGTGGCCGCTCATCTACGCCATCATCTCCGAGGTGTTCGGGCTGAGGTACTACGGCACGCTCTACAACCTGGGCGCCGCGGCCAGCCCCGTGGGCGCCTACGTGCTCAACGTGTGCGTCGCCGGGCGGCTCTACGACGCGGAGGCGGCGAGGAAGCGCGGGAACGGCCAGAGCAGGACGTGCATGGGCGTGCGCTGCTTCAGGGAGTCGTTCCTCATCGTCACGGCCGTCACCGTGGGCGGCGCGCTCGTGTTGCTGGTGCTGGTGTGAAGGACGTGGAGCTTCTACTAGGGAGACATCTATGGGCATGTACAATGGTTGATAAGATAGTCTTATCTTAAGTTTTGCATGTAAATTAGAAATGACAAGAAAACATGTCTACAATGGGTCATCTCTTAGCCTTATCTTCAATAATTAGTTGTTCCTAAAAATATGGTGAGACAAACTGTGCTAAGAGATCATCTCTTGTCTTCTCTTAAATAAGATAAGACAAGCCTTCTCTTATGATTTCTCTCTCCTCCACCTCATCATTTATCCTACGTGGCACTCTTAAGATAGAACCATTGTACATGCCCTATGCCAAGTTCAGGGATGCCGTGGCTGTCCAGGAGTCATCCGACGGTGCTTACGCGGTTGAGCAGCGGCCGCACGAGTCGGGTCAACACCGGTAAACAGGAAGCATAAAACCTGTACTGCTAAACTCACGGACGGTTTTACGGGACTAGGTCTCTATCCACCGAGACTTAAGCAAATCTAAGTCAAAATGGTACGGCAGGTAAAGAAAAACGGAAATGCTAACGCCCACACGTGTGGGCGTTCACCATCTCGACCACATGCAAGCATCACCGTTGGCAACTTTGTGCATGAATCTTGGCATAATTCGGTCGGTTTTCTGCGCCACGTAGGACGAGGCGCGTGTACGGTGTGCGAGACAGTTCGCCCGCACGTTGGTTGCCCTCCCGCGGTCAGCGGTTGCCACCCGGGGCGTGCGGTGGAACTGCTATGCGCCCGCACGCCACGCTCCGACCGCGATTGACGTCAAACACGTCGCACACCTCTGTCCCCTCTCCCCTCACGGTTCCATTTTACTCACACCGCACTGCATTTACTGGCAGAACCCACTCGCACTTCAGACCATTGGAGGAGAAGGCGAGGGGAGAAGGCGACGGCGGAGGCGGAAGAATCGACGGTGTTCGGGCCGTCGGTGGTGCTCGCTGGAACGGAGAGGTTTCGCCGGAGCTCCTGCGGATTGAAGGTAATGCTCGCTACAACTCTCGCACTCCCTTTCTGCATTCCCCCCTTCCCTCCTTGTTCGATTCCTCGATCGAGATTCGTAGAGATTCAGGTGATTCGGCGATGCGTCGGCGTTCCCGCCGGCGGCGAAGTCGCCTGCTAGCCATTTTTGGTGGCACTGGGCAGTTTCGTCGCCGCCGCCGCGGCGGCATCATCGGTGTGGTTATGCCTGTCCGGAGGCACGCACTAGTCTTACCTTTGGATTGGGCACGTATCTCCCGGTTTGTTTGATGCGCATTGGTTTGAATTTGTGTTTGCAGTCAGTTCGGGGAAGAACTTTGAGGTTGAATTTGAAGTCGTTGTAGTTACCATTGAACCCTAGATCTAGTTAGTTGGGTTTTGAAACTGTAGTATGAGGCGAACTTGGTAGGTTGATTAACTATCATGATTGTATGGCAACTACCTTCCTGAACAAATGTGATAGTTGCCACAAATGTGTTTCCCATGCGGTAACAAATTACTGAAATGACTGTGATAGTTGCCACAAATAAGCTTTCCCATGCGGCAACTATTTTTTTGAATGACTATGATAGTTGCCACACACATGCTTTTCCATGTGGCAACTAAATTTGCTGAATTACTGCGATAGTAGCCACAAACATGCTTTTTCATTGTGGCAAGTAATTTTTTCTGAATGATTTGTGATAGTTGCCACACTGTGATAGTTGCCACAATCGGTAGTCAATGCAGTTTCAGCAGCCAACTACACTGGACGGCAACTAATGTGCACATCATGTGTGCCTATTGCCACTTGGATAGTATATTCATGTGGCAAATAGAATGTGAACACACTGTATGTTGCCATTCTACAGATAGGACAGTGTGGAAAATTGGCTGCATAATGTGGCAACCAAATTTCCATATCAATTGTGTCAGATGCCATACATATGCTTTGCATGTGGCAAGTTTTTGGCTGACCACATCATGTTTATTGCCATTCTACTGTCAGTACAATGTGGCAAATTCATTGTACTGCAGGCGCAATTTTTTTTTGTTTTTGCCACAAAGACTTTGTGCTATCTGAACACACTGTGGCAATTTTTCAGGTTCTTGATTAGATGTGGTTTCATCGCTTTGTTGTAGTATGTGTTGCATTTCAGCACGACAATTTCACCCTAGCACATTTCTACCGCTGTGGCAGTTATCACTGTGGCAATTTTTTTAGGTTCTTGATTAGATGCTTACCTATTGCATTTACATTTCCACCATGACAATTTGGTATGTTCCTATCTCAGCAGAATGGCTCGTGGCGATCATCAAAATGATGATGATGATTTCATGGATCCACCACAGCGTAATCATGCAACTGCACGGAGAAAAGAGGGTGATGAGGTAAATTTCCACACATCCCCCTCCTCCTGTTTTATGTTACTAGTTGACACCTCTTGCTTGCAGTCGTCTGACACAAACTAAA